AATTTGCTCCAACCAAAAGGAGATTGACTACATTTCCGGCTTCCAATGTTGGAGCCAATGTTGAAACCTGCCCTCCCAAGCTACACAGTTTTACTCCAATTCTTCCCCCCCCCCCGTGACATTTTATAGGCCTCCCACACCCGAGCTTCGCGAGGTTCTGCTATACACGTATTTCTAGTATAAACTAAAACAGCAGATAGAGTTTTTCGCGCTCTCTGATTGGCTACTCAAACTCCAAATATCCAGCGACGCCAAACTCGCGTAAGTTATGAGGCGAAGGCGAAGGCGACGAAATTCGTTTTGATAGTTTTTACAGGTAAATCTTTGTCTGTTCAACCTGAATTTATCGATGAAACCGGTGAAAAAGTTTCTTGTTTACAAAATGCAAATTACTCTAAGTCTTGCGTTACAGTAATTAGCTGACAAGTTCATAAATAACTAACCTCTTGTTGGTCGATTAAGACAACTTCTGTTAACACTTGAGCACTGGTGACATTGATGAGGAATGCGATATGGAGGACAGAGAAACATCTGTTATCGAATCCACGCAGTTTCCCTCGTTTTTTTTTTCTTCGTGAATTTTTCTCCCGCGCTCTACTTCTCCAGCGAATAAGTGCACAAAAGCTCCTTCTAATATCCTGCAGAGTCGCAAGGACATATGTGAGCGTTTCTGATAGGCGGATTTCTCACGGGTTTCTTATGCGCCTCAAGATAAGCCTAATTCTTACGTCTGCGTGACGGTTGGTCGCAGTGACATTGACAGAAGGGAGTTGGCAAGGATCGTGTACACTATAAAAGAGCAGTTCCAACCTGAAAGCCTTCTCCTAAACAAAAAAAAAAAAATGCTTTGAGAGACATTCCTTCAAGACAGGAATTTGCTTGTAAATGTACTGACTGGTTTTCCAGCGTCTTCCAATCGCTGCAGATGCACTTCCGCCGCGTATTCTGCAATCTAGCGGCGACACTCAGTTCTTAAAAGCGTCAAAACAAACCAGGAAATCATGATATTTACGGCCAAAAAAAAACTACACTCATGTAACTATTCAGGTCCAGGCATTTCAGAGAAAACCAAAGAAACTAAGGTTATTTATCCGCAATAAAAAAGATTTGCTTAAATAGAGTTAAAAGAAAATCATCTAATGGTAAACTGCATCTGTGATTATTTAATTAAATCCTGGCAGAAAACATAAACCATAGGAACTAATTACTCGATATGTATGGAACAGGCCAGCTTCATAACATCTAAATGTGAGACTCAAAGCGGCAAAAAATAAGATTTGATCAGTCAAAGTGGAGAATACTTCAAGGACTGTATAATCTACGCAAAAAGAGAGTAAGAAAGACCTCTTTTGTTCAAGCTGACTCTAAGGTAACGTTTCACCCAAAGGGGGGAATTTCATATATCCCATGATGCTTCGCGGCAAATTTGTCTCTTCTCTCCGCGGTGGAAGGAGCGTTCGAGGGTTTCGAGGGAGATTTTCAACGACCTGAATTTCAAGATGCAGCTCATCCAAGGTAAGTTTTAATGAACCCTGTTAATCTTTGGTATCTTATTAATAATGTAAAATGGTCCCATGGTCATTTCACGCATTATTGCTCTCGTTTACGACCCCGTTAAGCCATGCTGTTTTAACTCGCAAGTGAATATTTATTGAGATGACTTTCAGTTATCGAAAACTGTCTTTATTCTAGCAAGGTTTTGCCCTAATAAATTATTTAAATCGGCGGACAAGGGGTGCTTGATACTAGTTCCACGCTCCGACCTCTTTCGACCTCGCGATTTTTACGGGTTTGATCGTTTTGAAATATCGCATTTTCTGCCCTTTCTCCACTAAGATGCAAGACGAAGGTTTCAATTTCTTTATGCTAAGTCCCGCGAAGATGGGACATTTTCTCTTGAATTCGCCCTTTTTTCGTTGATCAAAACACAAATATTATCTCTTGAGGGTATGATGAATGTTTAAATTCAATGGTTTATAGTTATTGAAGCTTTTTTGTCTCATTATTTTAGGTAAATTGGTTTCTCATGGTGGCTTCCGGTCGCAACGGCGCGTGGGGAACTTGAAATATACAGGGCAGCAAATGTCATGGAATAGCACGCCGTAGGACCTCAACCGGCGTATAAAACCTTTTAAGACATTTTGATAATTCTTTTAGATCCATTGTAGTGAAGAAGTGGGTGTTTTTGTATATGTATTGTGCCATTTCTTAATAAAGCTTTTTTCTGTTTATGTTTGACAATGATGCTTAGCTCGTGTTGTGTTACGAAAAATATGGAGATGTCTTTGTTATTTTTATTGTTTGTTGGAGTTATTTCCCTCCTTTGAATTTTATCTCCGATAGACGTCACTTTGCTCTTTAACGGTCTCGGTATTTTCGACTACATAAGCCGAGCTTGTTGAAGTAAAAGCGTGTGCAGTCACTGTACGTTTGAATTACTGCATCGATGAATTATTGAACTGACAATATGAACAACCAGATCACAAAAAAGCAACGAAGAGAAATCTCACACCTAGAATATGTATTTATTTCAAGAAAAGTCGTGGAAATCGCCTGTTAATTCTTGGAGAGCTTTGTCAACGCACGTTAAAACAGGACGTACTGAAGCAAAGACCTTCCTCGCTAGCTCCTAAGAACGTTTGTGTGGACTGCGTTGCTATCGTAAGTCTAGTTAACTCATAATCGGCGGGCAAAACACTCTCTTTGACTTAACAAGAGATATATTTGGAATAGTAAAACGAAAATCGTAAATAGACCGACACAGCAAAGGTACAGAAAGTTTTATCGGCAAAACAAGTCGCTTTCCACTGCTGTTCAACTGTGACGTCCCTGTTGAACTGATAGCATCACGTGCGTTCGGAAGCTTGATAATATAGTATGAAGCGATGCATCATGGGATATATGAAATTCCTCCCTTTCGGCTATCGGTTAATTTTTTTCAGTTACGGTTAACGAAAAAGTTAAAAATTAACTNGTTTCACCCTATCACTAGCTCAACCTCTCGTGTCACGAGCTATTACTCGTGTTTTGCCTGTCAACACTCAATTCAGATCAGACAAATCACAAACTGCGTAGGAAACTATCCAACCAAAATCGCTGACATATGTCCTTGCGACTCTGCGGGATTCAAACACGATATTGAGCACTAATTCGCAGACGCATTATACAGAAGGTTTAGAGTGTCTGCGACGCAGGCTAACGTTTTACCATTTAACACCCTGTCCAACGGAACTTTCCCGTATATGCCATATTAGGGAGTACTCCTTTCCCTTTTCTTCCCTGGGAATATCATGTATTTTTGATTTTGTTTAAAAGAGGAATGCAACAGCACCCGGCAGGTACAAAGTAATTTCATTGTTTTCCAATGTCTGTTACGATTGAAGAAAACGTTACTGTTAGCCCCGATCTGGTCTTAAGACTAACAATTAATAGACGAGGACTTGTTTGAGCAACGCCATACGGCTTTGTTGGCTTCTCTTGGACTTCCAAGATGATGTCGTCCTTTTTCGATTACATTATCAGCTTTCGATGTTTAACATTAGCAATTATCATTGTTTATTTGATGCAGTTTCAGTTAGTTCGTATAACCTGGTCCACCCCTATTTTTCAGTGAGATCGTAGGCATCGATCTAGCGAGGCAAATTGGAAAGTTTAGCTGAAGTTGGCATAAAAGACAGGGGCGTAGCCACGATTTTTCAAAGGGGGGGTCACAGAGGCAATTCACCCTCGTGTATCATGATCAGCGGGCTCAGTCGTATTATCGCGGCATGAAGGCTCATATTAACTTAAGACAAGAACCGTTGACCAAAATACTTTACAGAAAAACAAATTTTAAAAAATTGGGCTTTTCAACAATGGCTTTTAGGGCCAAGATATTGTCATGGCGTTTTCGCCACCTGAATATTGTAGGTTGTTTGCTCAAAAGAAGGCCTACCAAGGGGGGGGGGGGGGGGGAAGGGGTCACGGGCACCCCAGGACCCCCCTTAGCTACGCCCCTGAAAGAATTTATTTGACCTGTAGTACTTTTCATTTGGGCTGGCGGTTGCACATGTTTCGGGTACTTAATTTCTTTATTTCAGTAATTTTTGGTTTTCGTTTGTTTCACATTCATTAGGGTACATTATTACCATACCCCAAAACAAATGAATTATACCAGTGAAAAGTTATATTAACCGAGTGAATTAACTGCAACATCTACATCCTTTTGTAAAAATGAAAAAATAAGTTGTATGGAATTTACGCACTTGAAAGGTGTAACGCTGATGATCTGTTCTATTATTTGTATCCTCATATAATTAAGTTAAAATAAAAAACGCCCGAAATGGTGACTCAAATTTAACTCAAAGTCAGTTTTAGCTCAACTCAGACTCGCTGTTCGATCGCTATCCCATCTCCGCACGCACTTAGCTTTGCTAAAATATTTTTCAGGTGACTGATTTTTTTGAAGAACGAAGAGTGCTCAGATGATCGTTTCTGCCAGGACCGGAAACATGAAACGATTCTTAACTTTGACTTTCGCAGTTTTTGCAGGAGCAATGGTTCTTTCTATACTGGAGTTCAATCTTTTGGAAGGACACGGACTAACTTTTCTTTCACAGTCAGCTGTTTTTACTTCTTTCAATAAAACAAAGAATATCAATATCGATAGAAATTCAAGCAGAGCAGCTGAAGTTAATTCAGGCGGGATACCAATCGGCCACTACTTGCCGGTTAGTGTGGTGGGAAAGACATTTGAAATGGACAATGAAACCTTCCCAATCGTGCAAGAATTTCTGAAGGAGAACGTTTTTAAACGTAAACCTGTAACGCTAAATCCTAACGCATCGTTTTTTGACGTCGTTGTTCCAGTTTCTGCCGCTTCCAGCAACCATTTTAGAGAGCTGATGAGAGTTGTGGATCACTTTCCCAAGCACTTACCAGGAGTTAAATTGGTTTGTTATGATATTGGACTCAGTGAGCCAGAAATTGATACATTAAAGAAATTAGCTCATGTCATCTATAGAAAGTTTGAATTTGAGAAATATCCACCTCATATCAAAAACTTAGGGAACTATGCTTGGAAATTACTACTGATGGGAGAACTGTTATCAGAATTCGATGGAGTGCTGGGAATTGACAGTTCAATCAGAATTTACGGTTATTTTGTCCATATTTTGGAAAGAATGGTTCGCTTTAACTCTGGAGGTCTGTTCTTTCTTAAAATTGAAGGAGGTCATTCAATTGCAATGGCCACTCATCCTGGGATGATTGAGTATTTTCCAATGACCCCCAAAGAAGGCCTTACAGAAAATATGTTACCAGGTGGTACAATTCTTTTGTTTAACACGGAAGATATCCAAGAGCATGTCATGAAGTGGGCAGCGGTCTGTGCCCTTGTTCAAGATTGTATCGCACCTCCAGGATCAAAACGTAATTGCCCCGGCAACCGTTTTTGGCAGACACCAGGAGGAGAGAAGTATGGCGGCTGTCATAGATATGATCAAGCTCTCCTGAGCCTTCTGGTTACAAATCTTTATAATAATGCCCGTGAAAGGTTCAGCTCAAATGCCACTGAAGCTTTATCTGATACGGGATTTATGGGCTAATTTCTCTTTATTAACAACTACAGTAAAACCTCTTTAGTAACAGGGGCGGATCCAGCATTTTTTTTAGGAGGGGGTGCACTCGTCTCTTGCTCTACTTCAACATTAATAAACTACATAGTTTTTTTTGCAGAATACCAGTTGTATTAGAAAACCGCAGGTCATCTCAAGGGGGGGGGGCGCACCCCCTGCACCCTCCCCCTAGATCCGCCCTTGACTAAGGACACCACAGTGCTAAAGCCAAGTGTCTCTTACAGAGTAATCCCTTTTATAAAGGCTAAGAATATAGAAGTATGATACTGACAGACCCTTGAAATTACACCACGAGAATACGAGGTCTTGAATCAAGTGTCACGTTAAAGTAGTCTTTGTACCAGAGCTTTTGACAGCACTCCGCGTGGCTTAGCCCCATTTATATAGAAATTGGAAACCTATGTACGCAAGAAAATTTGGTTATGACTTCTTGCTTCGCTTGAGTGGAAGTATAAACGTACGGTACTCGGTCAGGGGAGTGATGTCTAGCGGAAAGAGCATAAATCTCATTTCCTGGACATTCGAACCTTCACTAACGACCACCCCTCTACAATGACCCCCCTTTTTTGGAGGACTTGAGTCCATACATTGACTCTTGTTTAAAGCCCTCTACAACAGCTACTTTCTTCTGTTCCTTTAGCAGGCCGTTGCGGAGAGGTTCAACTGAAAATAGTAGCAGTTCTGCACCAGTGTTAAGGAAGTCAGACGTACGTGCTCCGACAGTGTGAAGTAGTGGGAAGACCAAAATCGAATTTTGTTTATAGCACTAAGCAGCACATGTGAGTTGGCAAGTAAACAATGAATGAGAGACTACACTGCCTTTTAAATCAATAAAACATAAAAGCATTTCAAATACAGTGAGAGAAAAATATAACAGTGATATGTTTCGTTTCCAAATTATTGTTACATTATTTGGACAGCGGAATAGCAAGAATCGGCACATTCGGGAAACATAACTGATGGAGCGTGGGTACTCAGGGAATGTACAGTCAAGACTATCTCTTAACGGACACCACTGTAAAAAGGACACCTAGAGTTTGTCCCTGCCTTAATCCTTTACAGTCAACTCTCGCTAAGTCGGACACCTCCGGGGCCGATACTAAGTGTCTGTCTTAAAGAGATGTCCGTGGCGTCTTATAGAGAGTCAAATAAGGAGTAAAGAAAGGCAGGGACCAACTCTAAGTGTCCGTTTTACAGAGGTGTCCGTTAAGATAGAGTCGACTGTACTCCCTTTATTTGACTCTCTATAAGTCAAACATCACCCAAAGACGGACTCTTAGTACCGGTCCCAAAGACGTCCGTCTTTAAAGGAGAGTTAACTGTACCAAATTGTCCTCACGGCAAGGCGACGAAGAAGTAAACAAAAGAATAAAACAAACAAAATATATATTTAAACAAATAGAAGTCACGTTAGTGGGCATTGTTCCCTGTTTCCATATTTGTATATCTTTGAATGTAACCGTTATTGTTGTCAGTTGCCTGATGATTGCTTCGTGAGAAGCATGAAACTCAGAGTTGCAGATCAATGTGTTTGAATTAGTCCGGCTCCAGTAATCTATATTTTATGTAAACAAATATATATTTTTTTGTTTTATTCTTTTGTTTACTTCTTCATATTTTTTTGTTTTATTTTTTTGTTTACTTTTTCATCACCTTGTCGTAAGGATCAGTTTGCAGTTTAATTTTTTTCTATAAGTTTAATTGTACTGATCCAGGTCTACAACTGGGAGATCCGGCACCAGTCATTGGTTTGTTGCTGTGGACTTGCTGACTTTTTATATATTCTATTCCAATTACCCCAAGTACTATTTTATGACTTTCCTCCTCTCACTTACTGTACTGCCTGATAAATGTTTCAACACACGACCACGGACGGCTTAAACTACGCGGACTATCTAAGACATGTTTTTAAATATTGGCCGTCTTTACACTAGAGACGGATTATCCGTATGAGACGGGTTATCAGTTGGATAATTCGCGTCAGACAGATAATACGTCTTAATTTGAAAATGGAACGGTCTTTGGATGGACAATATGAGGGGTCATCTCCGCCAATATCCTGCTTCAAATTCTGTTATAAAGAACTTGTATGCTATTACTTTTCATCAAATTCTTTTCTCATAAAAATACAACTGAAACTGGACCAACAGAATAGACTTTAGGAAGTTAGAACAGAAATTGAGTGAACAAAACGGAATTTAGAACATCCCAACAAAGCGAAACAGAAATTGGCCAAACAGAACAGAAATTGACGATCTCTCAATTTCTATTCTGTTTTTCCGACGAACCGAGTGGAACCTGAGTAAGAGCGAGTCGAACATTACGATTTATACACCCGATTCCTGCTCAATGAAAATTTATTCCATTTTCAACATGACCGTGCGTAGGGAAGACCTTCCATCCAGGTGTCTTTCTTTACTTGAATAGGTCAAAGACCTCCTCGAGACTCATAACAGCGAACAAAGTGGCTCAGAGAACTATAAGATTCTATTTTTCCATTAAAACTTCTTTTAAAGTAGACACCGAGGGCTGGTACTGTGTCAAGAAAGGCCGCAATACTTTGTTTTCCTCTTTGTTATTGTGTTTCAGGAGTGCAGACTCCCTCTCTGTGAACTTTATGTCTGGTGAAAATTGAAAATGAAAATTTACAATAAAAAAAAAATTTAACTCTTGGTCTAACAACAAAATTAAATTCTTGTTCTAACTGACTCTTCGGTACGATTCATTCCAATGTTTTTTTTAAAAGAGTTTCTGCAAGGTGCTGTTCGTCTTCGTTCCCAGTGCTCTCGAAAACGACGCGAAGTGAGCTTAATTTGTAAGCGATTTCTTTTTTACGCTCACATTTCGGGCGAGCTAAACCAACCCTTGAAACTTCTTTGACGTAGCAAGTCGAGCCGCAAAAAAGAATAGAATGAAACTTCACAAACCAATGCGCCTGATACAAAATCTCGAAGTCAAGCTTTCCCTAAAAAGAACCGCTCGCGGCTCGACTTCTTCACCTTGCCATAGTTAATTGAGTGGAATGGTTATGAAACCCGTCAGACTCCTTTGTTATATGTTTTTGTGGACCTGAAAGTGCACAACGTTCAAAAGAATTCCTATCATTTTGATTGTCTTGACCAATAAAAACGTTGCATTAATTTATTCCGTAACAATTTGCCAACAGAAAACAAAGGATTGTGCACTTTCAGGGTGCTTCCAACATAAACTGCAGCACTGTTGTTTTTTTCATTGATGTTTGCCGCTTTTCATAACCAGTCTCCTCTAATAACTATGACCTTGCCATTTGTCATAAAATTTAGAATTTCAATATCAACTCTTAAATGATCGACACTTTTTCGAACCTAAGGGTCAAAACTGGGGCAAGAAGAGGCCAGTTGGCCTACTAAAGAGACATTTTTACCGAAACTGAGCAAAAGCAAATTCTTTTGGTAGATCCCAGTACTAAATCGTGCGTGGATACTAGTTACCAGTCGACAACGGTAAAGTGGCAACCGTCTTGAAGTGGGCGTAAAAAAAAATTGCCCGTGGAGGTACTCCTGGGAATTCTTGATGGGGGTGTACCGCCCGTTTCGCCAAATCCTAACCCTATTTTAGACCAAAAAAATGTCAATCGCACATCCTTTTTCATACCAGGCCTCAACCTCGTCCCCAGGGTTTTTCCCTTAAAAAATGGGTGGGGCGCCCCACCCATTTTTTAAGGAAAAAGCCCTGGGGACGAAGTTGACCTGGCCTCTAAAATCCAAACCGATTTTCAGACCTCGCATATAAATTCGTGAGGTCGACTTGTGGCAAGTCTACTTAGATTAGAACGCCAACAAAAAGAATCTTAAAATCTTCTTCAAATTCGCAAATTTCTGCTTCTTTCTTCTTCATTTGAAATTGAAACGATAAATACGTTCATACACTCCCCTGTTTACTTGAAAACCGGGTCGGCACATACCTATATGGCTTATATAACTAAAGGGAGTACCCCGGGAGCGCGAGAGCATGCACCCAAATTTCTCATACTTTTTAGATTATTTGTCTGAGTCCTTGAAATTTCTCCTGGGCTATGAACATCACCTCTGGAAACTATTTTTAAGAAAACTAATTTAGCATGTTCGAATAAAATTTATGTCTCGTTCTATCCTTTTCTCTCTCTTTTTTTTTTTTTTAAATAATTTCAATTTTAGTTTCTAAACGTTTAGCACTGTTTTCTTTACTAAGGAGGTTCTAGTATAGATATCTACTATTATAGATAAATCAAGATCCTGCAAGAATACGTAACTGATGCTTCAATAACCAGTTACTATTAAGTAATGATCCGGGTAAGGTGGATAGCAATTTCTTTTGTCATACGGCAACGGTGCTTTCCCCTCGTAGGAATGTTCTCATTTTTACACAGAGAATGCATAAACCTACATGAAGGCCGTTTACGCAATAAAATGCAGGCACTCCACTTTGTAAGGGTGTTTTTTTGTGTTAAAAGATTTTGACCAATCACGAGAGTTGAAAAAAATAGCCAAGAAAAGTTTACAATTTTACATGTTCCCCACATAGGATTTCTTTGCTATTCAAACTGAGACCAGATTTTGTTATATGGAAGATGGTTGCAAAGTAAGGATGAATATATGTACCGCTTTATGAAGTTTTGTTAACTTTTGCTGTTGAAGCCAATCAGAAGTAAGTGCAGACAAAAGAAAAGTTAGCACCCTTTTTGCATTCCAAGATGTTCGTTGCCGTTGTTGCTATCGTTCTTATCTGGACTGTTTCTTAAACCCCGACAAGACGAAGCTCCCAGTCAGTCTGTGGCAGTACGCAGATGGCCGCTAAGTTTGTCAAATTTTGGAAAACAGCTTACTCCAGTGGAAGCCGCCAGAGACCTTGGCGTT